AACTAATGGTGGACAGCCTGCTGGTTTTATCACGTGATCATTGTGCTGGGGAACTGACTGTAGATCAGAATGAGAAGGTGGAGCTTTTCTTGACACCGCAGGGCAGCCCTGCCTCTGTTCCTGGGGGTTAAATGTTGAACACTGTTTCCTGACTCACACAGTCACAGCAGAACATGTTGTCAGTGTTTAAGATGAGCTTTTTATTACCTTTAAGAATAAAACTGATTGATTTTATTTTAGTTACTTTAAGGAATAAACATGTTTAATGAATCTACAATATAAATACTGCCAGCATATAAAGGAATGACAAAACAACTGCAAATAAATCTACAAATGGCATTATGGACAGATCAACCACACTGAACAACAAACGTCTGGGTACACACATCTCTAACAGTGTCCCATACAAGTTGACCCAGTGTGTCCAAATCTGAACACATCAAACGTTGCCATTTCAAAATAGAGAGTTCATCAAAATCAAAGAATTAGTAACATTGAAGACTGGATGGTTGAAAAGGGCAGGTCAACATATATTAACAGTTCATTAACTAGTCAGATTTATGAAGTTACACATGCTGCCCAGCCTTAACAGCTCTACTCTTCAGTGTCTGTGTGCTTTAGTTCATTTCAGTCACCAACAGACAGAAAGATGACATGGGCTATAAAACAGAACAGGGAGCGATAATAGAAGCTGGAAACAGTTTGTTGGTATTAAACGTGCAGCTGTTCCTGCTGTTCTATTCAAATATACAGACTCAACCTTTACAACTGAAGTGAACTCCTGATTAACACCAACATCAATATAGATTCATTACTCACCTGGTTGGCTGCAGGTCATACAAACAGGAGAGGGTCGACTGTGGCTCAGAGGTAGAGTTGGTCGCTCACTAAACTGATGGTCGGCGGTTCGAGCCTTAAAAAATTATACACGCCTCCCTCTTCTAGTGCCCACTTCCCCTGCATTTTCTGAGAAATACAACCAGCAGTAGAAAAAAACAGAAGGCGTCCACACATCCGTAGAGAAACACAGTCCACCATCACGTGATCACTACTGAAAAAACAACAGAACACTGACTTTAATAAAACTTCTGTATTTATAACCACACGTGTAGTTTAATATTATCTGAAGGATGAAATGATTCTTTAAAGCAAACCAAACAGACTCCAGTTATACAACAAAGACAAGTGTGATTTTATTAGTGTTGTAGTACTCGAGATCGGTCTTGGTCTCGAGACCATTTTTTGAGGGTCTCGGTCTTGTCTCGGTCTCGGACTGGGCGGACTCGGGTTTTTTTTAACGAGACCGGTCAAGACCACCGCCAGTGGCGGACTGGCCATCGGGAGCACCGGGACGTTTCCCGGTGGCCTGGCCGCCGAACTGACCCGCTCGGCGGTCGCCGATGGTCGGGACCGAAGGTTCGGTTCGGGTCGCGCTTGATTGTTAAATAAACAATCCGTTGTGCGGCTCATTAGAGTATCTGCCTCACTGAAGCTCACACACACTGAGCAGCAACGTTGGGCACGAACACACCCCCTCCTCTCTTTTTCTGAGGCTCTCTGTCACAGCACTGCAGACACACCCACACACACACACACACACACACACACACACACACACACACACACACCCACACACACACACACACACCAAGTTGCGACCCCGCCCCCCTCCTCCCTCACGTGTTCTACATGTTTGAAACATGGAGCGAGATCGATAGCCCAAGAGGAAAGGTGGAGCAGAGAGGGAGAGACTTATAGAGCTAAAAGCACTGATCACAGATCAGCGCAGTGCTGTAACATATCTGACCTGTTTGTCAGTAAGGGAGCAGGTCAGACATTAAACACTAGTGGAGACAACAGACACACAACCAGAGCCTATCCAGCACCACCAGCTTCATGAGGAGGTTGGTTCCACTTTGACTAACACAAACTGACTTAATAAAACAAAGGCTTTAAGTTGTAACAAAGGATATTACAAATTTTAGAATATGGTTAACTAACATAGACACAACATAATACATTATATGAATATTGAAATCCTTGTATTATATTGTTTCATTTAACCTTTATTTAACCAGGTAGAATCCCATTGAGATTAAGAACATTATTGGTTGTTATATGAACATAGACAATGCATATAAAAATGGTCAATCAGTGAATTTGAATCGCTGAGGAATGATGGGTGGCTTTTGGATTTTTCTTTACAAAGGTGGAGAAGGGAGCAGTGTCAGCACGGTGAGCAGTACTAGTGCTGCAAGAGCTCCTGCTGTCATGGCAGTGGTGGACAGCAGCAGTGAAGAGTCAGAGCAGGAACATCATTTCAGTTATGTGATTTACTTACATCAGTAGGCGCCCAACCTAACTCACTCTCAGTGTTTTACGTTACTCGGGTGGTGGTGGCCTGGGATGGTATCAAACTCCTGGCCTGAATTTTTGTCCCAGTCCGCCCCTGACCACCACTGATAGGCTTTTTGTCCATGCCTGACTGATAAGAGTGAAAAAGGACCCTCTCAAAAACAGCTAATAACTTCAAATCATTGGCTGCAGCTAGGGGGAATTATTTTTATGTTTTGTTATGATTCTCCTTATGGTCTTGGTATTGTTTCAGGCTCAACCTCTAAAAGTCTTGGTATTGTTTCGGTAATGTCTTGGTCTTGGTTGGTGCGGTCTTGACTACAACACTAGATTTTTCACAGAAATGCTCCTTTGTGACCTTTCATTTTATTTCTGACTGATTTATAAACATTACAAACCTTAAAGGAAGATCTTCTTCGTGCTGAGTGATCTACCAATCTGTCCTGTTTTAATAAAGTTCTTCTTCCTCTAATAAACCTGTCTCCTCTCTGACAGGGAGAAGATGATCTGGATCCTTCTGCTCGTCGGCCTGACCTCCTCTGTCTGTGGTTAGTAGGACTGAAACTAACAATTCATTTCATTAACCATTAATCTGCTGATCATTTCTTCCATTAATCCAATCAAACTGTTTATGAATGTAAAGAAAGTTGTGAAAAATCTCCCATAAAGACTTCCAGAGGCCAAAGTGACGTCCTTAAACTGCTTGTTTAGTTCAACCAACAGTTAAAAATCAAACATTATTTCATTCACTGTCATATATTACAAAGACAAACAGCAAACCTGCACATATGAGAAGCTGGAAGCAGTAAATATTTGGTTTTGTTTCACTAAAAATGACAATTAATGTAATATCATTTATCAACTCTAATAGTAAAACTATGTAGTTTGATACAGTGAATTCCCCCTGCTGCAGTTTAAGCTGCTGGCCACCAACGTCCTGTAGAGGTAGATAAAGGTAGACACAGACAGACAGGTAGATACAGGTAGATACAGGTAGCACAGATAGACACAGATAGACACAGATAGACACAGATAGACAGGTAGATACAGGTAGACACAGATAGACACAGATAGACAGGTAGATACAGGTAGACACAGATAGACAGGTAGACACAGATAGACAGGTAGATACAGGTAGACACAGATAGACACAGATAGACAGGTAGATACAGGTAGACACAGATAGACAGGTAGGCACAGGTAGACACAGATAGACAGGTAGATACAGGAACACAGGTAGTAGGTGTTGCTGAGAATCTCCGCCCACGTTCGTCAACAACTTGGTGAGCTATGGTGAGTTGATTCAGGAGGACAAGAGTCTACAGCCTCCCCAGCTGCTCTGTGAGGCTGTACTTAGGAACGGTGGAGCTTGGAACTAAACACTCTTAGTTTAGTGGGTTATATTTAGTGTATTGTACAGGTAGGTGGCGCACTCATCTCCGCCTCCGGGCGACAGAAGCGCTGATGTGAGGCGTATAAACGCGTGAAGGCAGCGGCACTAGAAAAATAGAAATAATACCAAATCAACAGTTCAGTCAGTCAGGGAGCAGAGCAAAACATAGTGGTATGTGGGAGCATCGAACCCCCACTCTGCCTCTGAACCACAGCACCCCTCTAAACCGCCTCATTATTTGGAGGAAGATAATTAAACTTCATGACCACAGAGCATAAAATAATCTGTAGTCTTTCCTTCACATCGAAACTATAAATTCTGATTCTGTTTTATAACAATAAATGTTTTTATTCGTTAATAGAACTCCCCTCCCCCACTCACAGACTGTTTCTCTTTCTCTCTTTCTCTTTCTGTTTTGGGTCCATCAACATTCAACAAACAGAAAGCCCTGCACAGTCCGCTCAAAGATCGTTTCTTAAGAAGGATTCAGAAGGATTTGGTCTAACTGAAGACAAACGAGGTCAGTTGTGTATCCTATATTTATAATGCTCTTAATCATAAGTTGACTTCGGTTGTAAAGATTGAGTCTGTTTAATTATCCGGGTTTTCTCTTTAAATTAATGAACAATAATGTATGTGAGCCATTAAACAGCAGGAACAGCTGCACATTTCATATGAAGAATGTGTGTCCTGGTTATATTATCGCTCTTGTTCTTCATTTCAAGGGGACATATTCACTTTGTACTCCTTGCATTACCAATCGTTACTTCAGATCAGCATAAAGTAGGATATGATTCTTGTTATTGTGATTGTTTTGGTTTATTTACAGTTGTCTTTCCCTTATATGCAGACAGTATTTATGTTGCTGCCCAATGGAACAAAATGTTGATTTCTTAAAACAACTAACTGTTTTCAGTGAACCCCTGGATCCTCATGTTGACACATTTTTATAGTGGAGAGTTTATCTACTGACGCCATCTTGTGTCAGAAATACATAACTGCAGCTTAGACATTTTTATTTGACTATAAACAAACAGACTTTACATTATTGTGGTTGTTTTTATCATCAGCATTGAGTCTTGGTGTGCAGTGAGGAAATGCTTTGGTCAATTGTGTGTAATAATCAGGATAATAAATACAAAGGAGTGTTGCAATGAACACAGACAGACTGTAGATGTTTGTTCTGGTACATGTGAGGACTGAACTTTGACCTCATGTGTTCATGACTCTTCACCGCTGTCTCCTCTCACAGGGAGAAGATGATCTGCTGGATCCTGCTGCTCATCAACCTGACCTCCTGTGTCTGTGGTTAGTTTCCACCTTCACTTTATTATCCATGAAGAGAAAAGTCCAAATACACTTTCAGACTTCCATCTTTCAATCTGTAAGGAGGAAGGCCTCTACAGCACTGAGAGCATCACTAAACTGTCCACAGAAACATCTCTAGATGGAGTTTAAAGGCTCACATGTTAAAGTTGTCACTTTGTCTGGTCCTCACTTTCCCTCTCTGTCTCCTCAACAGGAACATTTGTAGTGAATGTGACACAGACCTCCTATCAGGCAGAGGAGAACCATAACATCACACTGGAATGGACGTTCACAACCAACAATGACAGTTCCCTCAACTCTCTTTCTATCTACTGTGAACTGATTACTGATCACATGGTTTCAGTCCTGTATCATCTACATGAAGGTGTCGAGGTCCCAGAGTCTCAGGATGAACAGTTTGCAGGACGAGTCCAGTGTGACAAAGACGTCCTCAGAGAAGGACGACTCAGACTTCATGTGTCCAGACTCAGGACTGAAGACTCGGGCCTGTACCAGTGTGAAGTATTCACAAATTATGGTGGCAGTTTGGGCAGATGTCGACTTAATGTCACTGGTGAGTTGGTTCAGTAGAACTTTCTCTTTCATTTTAGCAGCTTTTGTGGATAAATGAGATCAGTGGAGAAAAGTACTACCACAGCAGTATCTGGGACATATGATACACCTTCATCTTTATAGTGACCAAATGTTTTTATTGATTTGGCTTTTGTGTGTGTATGTGATAATAGTGTGAATAATGCAGAAGAGATAAAATAACCTTTACCCCCCTCCCTCCCATCCATCCTTTTGACCCCCACCCATCCCTCACTGCAACCTGAGGGTTGTTATAAGTTGTAAGTAAACTAACAATATGCAGATATCTCCATCTCATTACTGCCATTTTCTGCACTTATTCCACAGAATATATCTATTTTATTTGGATAGAGCAAGAGAGGAGTCATCATTCAATAAAATAATGTTTGGAAGGCAGGGTATAGTTCCATCCATTATATCTGATAACGCTGTACTTACTTGTTGTTAGCTTTGTATAATTATATATAGTTATAGTTATACTGAGATCTGTTGTGGATATTTAGGTTGATTTGTATGAATGACACAGATTTATATTTGGTCTCTTTACAGCAGCGAGGGATTTGCCCAAACCTGAGGCACAAAACACAAGAAGTCGGGGAAGACTCGGACTCTACTGTGGACTGGGACTGGCAGCAGCAGCAGCAGCTGTGCTGTTTGCTTTTTATCTTTTATTCATTCACTCTGTACCTGAAGGTCACGACTTCAGATTTCAGGTCAGTAGTAGAAGGGAACATTTACATCTCAGCATGATCAGAGGAAACACTTTGATCAGTAATGTAAATGAGACAGACTTCATGTCCAGACTCAGGACTGTACCTGTGTGAAGTGAACACAAATTATTTGCTGGCAGCTTCTGAATGTCACTGGTGAGTTGATTCTGGAGAACGTAGTCCAACTTTCTTAAATATCATACCATACCATACCATGGACACAGAAAATAGTAGTTTCTCATTGGCTGACAGGAAATACAACAAACCAGCAGGTAACCATAGCAACAACTTCACACACCTTACCTGAGTAAAACTAAAAAGTTGCTAAAGATTAAAACCCATCCTACTTTTATATTCTTCAGTAAGTGGCCATGGTATAAGAGTCATAGTAGATAGGACGCCTCATCAAACTTTGTCACTTATTAGAAGATCTGCATAAACTGCACTTTATTGATCGAATGTAGATAAACAGGTGTACCTCATATACCAGGTATAATCTATTCAATTTCTCTTTTATTTACCTTTTATGCATTTAAAGCTGTGATGATAAAATATATTTTTCTTTATATTCTATGGATCATGTAGCTGACTCCTGGGTGCAATGAAGTGTTGGTAGTCTAGTCCTGTCTGTTTTATGTACACTGGCAATAAGCTTTAACCTTTTCTTGTTGTAATGTGCAATTTAAACTGAAATGTACTGTTACTGTTTTATTGTTGCTGTTATTTACTGTGTTACTGATTCTAATTCTTTCATTCTATGTGTGCTGTAAGAAAAGCTTTGAGTTGTTCACACTGCTATTAAGGATGAAGATCAGCAGAGGAAGCTCTTTACTTTAAGTGAGGTCGTCTTGTTTCAGTGGATTTTGTTTTCCACATGTTAAGGTTGTGAAAAGCTGTCCAGCTTTCATTGGTTGCATTTTGGTTTAAAGTAGTTTCACTAAGAAGATTAATATTACATTATGATAATATCATTACACACCTGAATCAAGCAATGTGGTTGTTGTTTGAATGTTTCTGTAACTGGAATACAGCAGAAAGCAGCAGGAAGGTTTCTCCATATGTGATTTAATTGATAACATTTATCCTCTTATTCACTTTATCTTATGAACTTTGTTTTTATTGAGTGTTTAAGATTTTATACCTTCAAGTTAAATAAGTAAATCTAATGAATATTTCTGGAATAAAATAAATAAATACAAACTTTGTTGTTTCCATTTTTGTCAGAACTTTCCTTTTTCTGTGGTTGTAGTAAAACACCAACTCACATTATACTATGTGTACTATGTACAATAAGTACACATTATAATCAGTATGAAAGCACTGTAACAATGGCCATCATAATATTAAGATAGAATAATTATTGCTGCAGTTATTTTATAATTCTGTGTCTTGTTGATTCCAGTCAAACTTATTCAATTGTCTTATAAAACATGTTATACTCTATATATGATTTTGTGTTTCCAGTTTCACTTCAAATCTCACATTCAATTTCTCTGAGGCTTCATATTAAAATCATCAACTGAAGGCGGCTGCAGTTTTCAGAAGCAGCGTCTCTCCACTGACCTGATATATAGTATATATAGTAAATAGGTTTTTAATATGTTTCATCTGTTCTTTACATCAGTGGATCACTGGTCTATATTGAGTTGAATTAAATGCTGAATAATTTAAAGCTGTGATTGTTCTAATGAAGTTAGTGATTAAAAGAGTGTAGTGTTGGAGAGTTTTACAGGTGTTATATCATGTTTAAATGTTTAATTTGTCTCTTTTATTTCATTTAATAATGCATCTGTATTTGTATCCTGCCTCTATATTCTTCAGTAAGTGGCCATAGTACACACCTGACACACATAATTGACTGTTGTTCACCTTTACGCTGTTCTCTATTTTGATAGGACGCCTCATCAAACTCTATCACTTATTAGACAGATCTGAGATCTGCACTGTGTGCACTTTATTGAACATATTCACAGCTTCTGGGTGTCTGATATTAAAAGATTTACACACAGAAAATTCACAACAACTTCGCTCATATAAAGAGAGATTTATTTACTGTATGTACACATTATAAAGAGCACAAAGTCAGTGCATCAAACATGGAACATCTGGGATCACAGTGGAAGCATCATTAACATTACTTCATTTATGACATTACATTATTACATAACTTCATTTAAACTTAAACCTGTAGTAACATGAACACCATTTAACAGAAAAGTATACATTTCATATAACAAATAGTTTTCTGACACTTGAAACAGATGTTGAAGGTAGAGAGTCTCAGAGTCTGTTGGTTTCATCAGTCAGTTGTTAAACACTCTGATGACTCATTCTGACAGAAAGAGGATCCTCCAGACAGAGTCCTCTTAGTCCTGATGGGTTGTGTCAACACCTGTACAGCTGCAGAGACGTTTCCTGTTTCATCATCAGATTTATGCAAACAATGACAGGAGGCAGAGCAGAGTCCAACACAGACAGCCAGTAGAACTGCTGTCAGTCCCAGTACAACATAGAGGACGATCATTTTGTGACTCTCTTGTTGTGGACTCTCTGTTGGTCTCTGAGGTTTGGGCTCATCAGCAGCTGCTGTATGGACATTATATAAAATGTGGTTAAACAGCAAACATTATCTAGTTACAGCTTCTCCAATGTGAGGATTTGCTGATTTTCTCTGTTTCCTGGTTCATGGCTCCAGGTCGTTATGATGGACAGTTTCAGCCGCTGGCAGCAGCTCTGTGGATGGAAATATCAGTCTGTCCATCCGTGTCCCCCTCAGGAGGAATTTAACTTAACACTAAAGTAACTCAGCTCAACTATTAGTTTGTGTTTAGTGCTAATTAGCTCATGTTAGCATGCTAACACACCAAACTAATAGTCTTAGACTCTGAGTCCTCTTTTACTAACTGAGTTCTATAAAATCAACTTACCAGTGACTCTGAGTTGACATCTTTCAGAGCTCGCACCATAATTTGTTCTCACGTTACACAGGTACCGGCCCGAGTCTTCAGTCCTGAGTCTGGACACATGAAGTCGGATTCGTCCTTCTCTGAGGACGTCTTTGTCACACTGGACTCGTCCTTTAAACTGTTCATCCTGAGACTCTGAGACCTCGACACCTTCATGTAGATGATACAGGACTGAAACCTTGTGATCGGTAATCAGTCTACAGTAGATAAAAAGGAAGTTGAGGGAACTTTCAGTGTTGGTTGTGAACGTCCATTCCAGTGTGATGTTATGGTTCTCCTCTGCCTGATAGGAGGTCTGTGTCACATTCACTACAAATGTTCCTGTTGAGGAGACAGAGAGGGAAAGTGAGGACCAGACAAAGTGACAACTTTAACATGTGAGCCTTTAAACTCCATCTAGAGATGTTTCTGTGGACAGTTTAGTGATGCTCTCAGTGCTGTAGAGGCCTTCCTCCTTACAGATTGAAAGATGGAAGTCTGAAAGTGTATTTGGACTTTTCTCTTCATGGATAATAAAGTGAAGGTGGAAACTAACCACAGACACAGGAGGTCAGGTTGATGAGCAGCAGGATCCAGCAGATCATCTTCTCCCTGTGAGAGGAGACAGCGGTGAAGAGTCATAAACACATACATAGTGATGTATATCTTTTATATGATGACACCAGAGGTTAAACTCTGCACCATCAGCAGGAAACATGGAGCTGAAGAAGACATTGAGAGTTCCATCCAACATCTTTGATGGTTACTCAGTAAAACAATCATCAGATGAAGTTTGATTAAATGTGTTTGTGTGAATCCACAAATAAAAATAAAAACACCATGTGCTGAAAGTACGTGGACAGACACGTGATCGTTGTACTGTGAGGAACTGACTGCAGACCACAATGACGAGATGTGGAGCTTTAAACAGAAGTAGTTTCAACTCTGTTATTGACGGTTCAGTGTTCCCTGACTCACACAGTCGCAGTAGAATATGTTGTCACTGTTTTTAATGAGCTTTTATTATCTTTAAGAATAAAACGGATTATTTTTATTTTAGTTGTTTAAAGGAATAAACATGTTTAATGAGGCTACTATATAAATACTGCCAGCATATAAAGGAATGACAAAACAATTGCAAATAAACACAAACAATGATGATGTTGTCAGATCTTACAATATAAGAATCAGATATATATATATATATATATATATATAGTTTTTCCCTTGAAATATGTAGAAGAACATGGAGCGATAATATAAGCTGGAAACAGTTTGTTGGTATTAAACGTGCAGCTGTTTAAAACCAACCTGTCCTGCTGTTATGTTCAAATATACAGACTCAACCTTTACAACTGAACTCCTAATTAACACCAACATCAATATAGGATTCATTACTGACCGTGTTGTCTGCAGTTAAACCAAACGTGTGCGTCGCCTCTCCCTTGTTCCAACTTCCACAGCTACTATATTGTAAAATCTTGAAGGGGAGTCTGTGGTTCAGAGGTAGAATGGGGCGTTCAGTAAGCAAAAGGTTGGTAGTTCGATCCTCACACAACCCAAAACACTCCAGATACTGTGTGTCTAACTGTGTGTTGCGTACTTTCTGGCTGGATATACACACCACCACTACACAGCTCCAACCGTCTAGTACATAGAGTGACATCCGGAAGCTTTCTGGCTTTCTCAGAAAGAGTCAGGAAGCTTTCTGAGAAAGCCAGGTTGCTGGCTGGTTTTCTCTTCGTGAAGAAGAGAGCTTCACCCTCTCTCAGACTTTGACCTACTTAAATACGCTCCCAAGCTGGCTTTCTGGCTTTCTGGCTTTTTCTGTAAAGCACTTATGTGTTTGCTTTTGGTACCAGGTAGAATATTTCTGATATTTGTGTGTATCAGTTGTGTACTATGGCCACTTACTGAAGAATATAAAGGCAGGATACAAATACAGATGTAATTATTAAATGCATTAAAAGAGACAAATTAAACATTAAACATGATATAACACCTGTCAAACTCTTCAACACTACACTCTTTTAATCACTAACTTCATTAGAACAATCACAGCTTTAAGTTATTTAGCATTTAATTCAACTCAATATAGACCAGTGATCCACTGATGTAAAGAACAGATGAAACATATTAAAAACCTATTTACTATATATACTATATATCAGGTCAGTGGAGAGACGCTGCTTCTGAAAACTGCAGCCGCCTTCAGTTGATGATTTTAATATGAAGCCTCAGAGAAATTGAATGTGAGATTTGAAGTGAAACTGGAAACACAAAATCATATATAGAGTATAACATGTTTATAAGACAATTTAATAAGTTTGACTGGAATCAACAAGACACAGAATTATAAAAGAACAGCAGCAATAATGATTATATCTTAATATTATGATGGCCATTGTTACAGTGCTTTCATACTGATTATAATGTGTACTTATTGTACATAGTACACATAGTATAATGTGAGTTGGTGTTTTACTACAAAGATTCATTAGATTTACTTATTTAACTTTAAGGTATACAAATCTTAAACACTCAATAAAAACAAAGTTCATAAGATAAAGTGAATAAAAGAGGATAAATGTCATCAATTAAATCACATATGGAGAAACCTCCAACTAAACTAACCACAGACACAGGAGGTCAGGTTGATGAGCAGCAGGATCCAGCAGATCATCTTCTCCCTGTGAGAGGAGACAGCGGTGAAGAGTCATAAACACATGAGGTCAAAGTTCAGTCCTCACATGTACCAGAACAAACATCTACAGTCTGTCTGTAGTCATTACAATACTCCTTTGTATGTATAGTCTAGGTACAGTGTTGATGCTGATGATAAACTGCAGTAATCTATGTCTGTCACAAGGTGGCGCCAGTAGTTAACTCTACACTATAAGCTGAAGAGGACATTGAGAGTTCCATCCAACATCTTTGATGGTTACTCAGGAAAACAATCATCAGATGAAGTTTGATTAAATGTGTTTGTGTGAATCGACAAATAGAAATGAAAGAACAGTTTCATATATAATAAAAACACCATGTGCTGAAAGTACGTGGACAGACAAGGAAGCAACAACAGCACCAACTAATGGTGAACAGCCTGCTTTTTGTATCACATGATCATTGTACTGTGGAACTGACTGCAGATCAGAATGAGAGATAAGGTTGAGCTTTACACAGCAGCAGCTTCAACTCTGGGGTTTACTGACGGTTCAGTGTTGAACACTGTTTCCTGACTCACAATCACAGCAGAATATGTTGTCAGTGTTTTTGATGAGCTTTTTATTACCTTTAAGAGTAAAACTGATTGATTTTATTTGAGTTGTTTTAACATTGTTAACTATTGTCTTTCGGCTCCCAGATCGTGGTCGGGAAGAAACAGGGGAGACTTAGTTTCTACAGGTAACTTGTAACTTCAGGGGGTTTACTGGTTTTCAGCTGTTGCTCGCGCTACCATACTGGGTGGTATATAAAGGAATGACAAAACAACAAATAAACACAAACAACGATGCTGTTGTCAGATCTTACAATATAAGAATCAGAGCCAAACATATATATATATATGCTGTTGCTGCTGTTTCAAATATACAGACTCAACCTGTATAACTAAAGTTAACTCCTGATTAACAACATGAATGTAGGATTCATAATTTACCTGGTTTGTCTTCAGTCAAACAGCGAGGTGAGACTAAAGTGTGATCCGTGATGTCTGAGGATCTGTGAGTGCTTTTGGTTCCGTTATATGTCAGTCTGTCAGTGTTCCTCCCCCTCTGCATTGTTTCATACACAGATATGTATCGTGTATGATTTGTTTCATCAAGTTTTTACAGTTTACCCAAAGTCTTTTGAGTGTGTTTTATGTTTGATAACTGTGTTCCACCTGCTAAGATCCGTACTGTCTCATGTTCATGACTCAAGGTAACATGATGGGTTGTTCTCTGTCTTTCTGTTTGTAAGGTGTTTGAGGAGCAGAGGGTTTTTATTCTAAATGTCTTTGATGATGAAATTCCCATCGTGTTGCTATTCATCAGGTTTTTTCACTTTCACTCGAAATGAGTCATCACACCGAGCAGTTGCAGTATGAGACAAAGTAGCATCACCTTTTCTTTTTCCATTCAATCTCTCTGTTTGTTCCTGTGAGTTTGAGGGGGCGGGTACTTTATTTGAAGTTTCTATTAAAGAATAATGACATTCATTGATATAAAACAGAATCAGATGATTGAATCTTTTTATATCTATAATTTCTTAATGCTTTAGCAACATTGTCTCTGTTACATTCAGGCCAATAAAGCAAACTGAAGTGATCAATTGAAAAACTGATAGGAGTGTTTGTCTACTTCTTTTATCTTTGTACAGTTAGTTTGTTGTCTGCTTGAGCTTTTTTATTCCTTCCCTGCGAAGGTGTCCATCCATGCTTAGAGACAGTTTTTCTTAAAAATAACCTCACTGATATTTAGGTTAAATGGCTGCAACAAGCTGGTACGAGCAAAAATAGTTTAAAAAAAGACGAAGAAAATGAAGACATGCTCAGTGATCGGCTCTTTAGATGCATGCAGACATGACAGATCTTTCATCTCACCTATATCCTATATTGATGTTGGTGTTAATCAGGAGTTATCTTCGGTTGTGAAGGTTGAGCCTGTATATTTGAATATCAGCACTTTCTCTTTAAATTAATGAATAACAGGAAGATTCAACTACAGCTTTCAAAGACTGAAGACGGATCATCTTCAAACATGATGAAGAGTTTTTCAGACATACACCCCTGCTAAGGTTAGCAGCCCGATGGAGGCACGCAGGTCAATCTCATCCATTCTTTTCCAGTTGTCTCCATATTTACGGAAACCCTCCATATTTGTCATCTCCAGGGTGATTTTTTTTCCCGTGGCTGAACATGCTGAATGCTGAGACGATATCCTGGGCATGAGCAACTGCATGTCTTGTGGGCCCTGGGGTCACCCTCATGACATTTTGTGCTGCCATCCTGCCCTGGTTGTCATATGGTGACCAGGACTGTCTTTGACAAAAATGTTTCTCTTTCAGCTTGGGTGATTTCTTCTTCATCTGAAGATGATTCATCGTGCTCTTGGTCGTATTCTTCCCCATCTTCTTCAGTGAAATGTGCACTGATGGCTAAAGTAATGAGATTACTGATGGGTACTGTCATCTGCAGCACCTTTATAGCCTCTGACTGCATTTCCTGTTAGTTAACAATGCTTTCACGAAAGGTTTATTCCCTATGATCTTTTTGTATTTTGACTGGGAACTTCAGATAGGTGTGGGGTTGTGGAGAGGAAAGTGTTTGTTTTCCAGAGTCCAATCTGTAGCACACATCATTTCAGTTTCTTGCATACGAGTATTGCCATTAGAATATGCTCCTATTTTTAGTCTTTTTTTTTTTTAAAAAAAAAAGAGGGAGCTCTGTTCACTACAAAAACAGAGGAAAATGCATTCAGGGATAAGGTTCATGGGGGCATATAATAGAGGGATTTTCTTTGTTGAAGTCAGTTGATTGTTGAGACAACTCGGTTTACCTGTGTCTTGTGTGATGCAAATAAATCTTGCAGGTGAAGTGGAACTGTTGATTCTCTTTGTTTTTTGAGTCTGTGTGACCATTCTGGGTACTTTCAGTGGGAGTTTGTGGTGTTTCACTCCAGTCAGATAGCTAGGTTTAAGTCACGTACCAGCAGAGGAATGACAAAGGGGGGAAACTTAAACCAAAAAAGAGACGCTGAGATGTTGTACATGCTCGAGCATTTTGGTTTGCAGTGCTCTAGATTCCACATTTAATAAAACTGTCTGTGGTATATTGTGTGTGTGAGAGCGTGTGTGAGATTGTGTGTGTTTCAAGGTTTCTGTACCCAACCCTCGCACATCTTGTGTTGGCTGTTTATCTGCTGTGAAAGTGTAATTGATTATTGTGTTTACATTACATTTACATTTTCGGTTTATTCAATCAAACTGTAAAGTGTCTAGCTGTATATAAGCTTGGTTAAAGCACAAGATGTATGAGACATGTATACAGCATTATTTTTGTTCATTTATTTTTTCTTTCTTTAACCCAGTTCTCACGGGTGGACCAGCAATAAAGCCCTGTATTTTAAAAAAGACCTCTTGCCTCATGCCTGTCACTGGAGGAAATATATGTGTTGTTGCTAATTTGACAGTGTCGATGTCTAATTGTGCAGCTAACATAACTAACTAACTTCACTTTATACTTTGTTGTCCTAATAATGTTGTAACATGATTCCGTGATCAGGTTAATATTGTAGTGATGGAAGTTTCTGTCTAGAAGTGGGTGGGATGGGTTTACATTGGAGTTAATAGAAAGCCTGTTGAGTCCCATACAGTCGCTGATGGGTACCATATGTAGCTGTATGGGGTGCCAAAGAAAAAAATACAAAGCGTCAGTCTTCGACGAGTTGGGAATGTACTGGTTCATATGTACTGTTTAAAGCAGGCTCAACCTCACTAACGAACACTACACATTACACTAACAAACAACGGTCTGTTCGGTCGTTATACATTCTGGCAAAACTTATTGCTTTCACTTGAAAAATTAATTCTGCTCTGTTTTTCTGAATTAACCACTTATTGTGTCATAATTCTGAGATACATTTTCATGGCAAAAAAAATAGACTCTGTTTCTGCATTGACGAAAGTCCTCCAGCCGTCACTGACTGATGAGTGTGAGACCTCAACGGCTTTGAGGTTTTACAAATGTCACAAGATACGCCCACAGGCTTTCCTGTGTGTTTCTTCCAAACGGCACTGACTGCAAACAATATCTGTTCTGACAACAGGAGAGCAAGCAGATAAACTATTGTCTATCCAAAAGAGATTAATACACATCCAGAGACTGAGTGAGTAATAAGTTTATCTTTTTTATTCTAAGTTCTTTCATAAATATTTTTATATTAGTCTAATACGGCCTCTATGGTTGATGTTATACATTGATCTGGCTCAGCAAAAATCGGACAAAGTTTTGTACATTGTTCTGAAAATATTAAAATCAGTAAC